AAAGGAGCACTAAGCTAAAGGAGCACTAAGGTATTGGAGCATTAACCTAAAGGAGCACTAAGCTAAAGGAGCACTAAGCTATAGGAGCACTAAGCTAAAGGAGCACTAAGCTAAAGGAGCACTAAGGTATAGGAGCACTAAGCTAAAGGAGCACTAAGCTAAAGGAGCACTAAGCTAAATGAGCACTAAGCTATAGGAGCACTAAGCTAAAGGAGCACTAAGCTAAAGGAGCACTAAGCTAAAGGAGCACTAAGCTAAAGGAGCACTAAGCTATAGGAGCACTAAGCTAAAGGAGCACTAAGCTAAAGGAGCACTAAGCTATAGGAGCACTAAGCTAAAGGAGTACTAAGCTAAATGAGCACAAAGCTAAAGGAGCACTAAGCTATAGGAGCACTAAGCTAAAGGAGCACTAAGCTAAAGGAGCACTAAGCTAAATGGGCACTAAGCTATAGGAGCACTAAGGTATAGGAGCACTAAGCTAAATGAGCACTAAGCTAAAGGAGCACCAAGCTAAATGAGCACTAAGCTAAAGGAGCACTAAGCTAAAGGAGCACTAAGCTAAATGAGCACTAAGCTAAAGGAGCACTAAGCTATAGGAGCACTAAGCTAAAGGAGCACTAAGCTAAAGGAGCACTAAGCTATAGGAGCACTAAGCTAAATGAGCACTAAGCTAAAGGAGCACTAAGCTATAGGAGCACTAAGCTAAATGAGCACTAAGCTAAAGGAGCACTAAGCTAAATGAGCACTAAGCTATAGGAGCACTAAGCTAAACGAGCACTAAGCTAAAGGAGCACTAAGCTATAGGAGCACTAAGCTAAATGAGCACTAAGCTAAATGAGAACTAAGCTAAAGGAGCACTAAGTTATAGGAGCACTAAGCTAAATGAGCACTAAGCTAAAGGAGCACTAAGCTAAATGAGCACTAAGCTAAAGGAGCACTAAGCTAAAGGAGCACTAAGCTAAATGAGCACTAAGCTAAAGGAGCACTAAGCTAAAGGAGCACTAAGCTATAGGAGCACTAAGCTAAAGGAGCACTAAGCTAAAGGAGCACTAAGCTATAGGAGCACTAAGCTAAAGGAGCACTAAGCTATAGGAGCACTAAGCTAAAGGAGCACTAAGCTAAATGAGCACTAAGCTATAGGAGCACTAAGCTAAACGAGCACTAAGCTAAAGGAGCACTAAGCTATAGGAGCACTAAGCTAAATGAGCACTAAGCTAAATGAGAACTAAGCTAAAGGAGCACTAAGTTATAGGAGCACTAAGCTAAATGAGCACTAAGCTAAAGGAGCACTAAGCTAAATGAGCACTAAGCTAAAGGAGCACTAAGCTAAAGGAGCACTAAGCTAAATGAGCACTAAGCTAAAGGAGCACTAAGCTAAAGGAGCACTAAGCTATAGGAGCACTAAGCTAAAGGAGCACTAAGCTAAAGGAGCACTAAGCTATAGGAGCACTAAGCTAAAGGAGCACTAAGCTATAGGAGCACTAAGCTAAAGGAGCACTAAGCTAAAGGAGCACTAAGCTATAGGAGCACTAAGCTAAAGGAGCACTAAGCTAAAGGAGCACTAAGCTAAAGGAGCACTAAGCTAAAGGAGCACTAAGCTATAGGAGCACTAAGCTAAAGGAGCACTAAGCTATAGGAGCACTAAGCTAAATGAGCACTAAGCTAAAGGAGCACTAAGCTATAGGAGCACTAAGCTAAAGGAGCACTAAGCTATAGGAGCACTAAGCTAAAGGAGCACTAAGCTAAATGAGCACTAAGCTATAGGAGCACTAAGCTAAACGAGCACTAAGGTAAAGGAGCACTAAGCTATAGGAGCACTAAGCTAAATGAGCACTAAGCTAAATGAGAACTAAGCTAAAGGAGCACTAAGTTATAGGAGCACTAAGCTAAATGAGCACTAAGCTAAAGGAGCACTAAGCTAAATGAGCACTAAGCTAAAGGAGCACTAAGCTAAATGAGCACTAAGCTAAAGGAGCACTAAGCTAAAGGAGCACTAAGCTAAAGGAGCACTAAGCTATAGGAGCACTAAGCTAAAGGAGCACTAAGCTAAAGGAGCACTAAGCTATAGGAGCACTAAGCTAAAGGAGCACTAAGCTATAGGAGCACTAAGCTAAAGGAGCACTAAGCTAAAGGAGCACTAAGCTAAATGAGCACTAAGCTAAAGGAGCACTAAGCTAAAGGAGCACTAAGCTAAATGAGCACTAAGCTAAAGGAGCACTAAGCTAAAGGAGCACTAAGCTAAAGGAGCACTAAGCTATAGGAGCACTAAGCTAAAGGAGCACTAAGCTAAAGGAGCACTAAGCTATAGGAGCACTAAGCTAAAGGAGCACTAAGCTATAGGAGCACTAAGCTAAAGGAGCACTAAGCTATAGGAGCACTAAGCTAAAGGAGCACTAAGCTAAAGGAGCACTAAGCTAAAGGAGCACTAAGCTAAAGGAGCACTAAGCTAAAGGAGCACTAAGCTAAAGGAGCACTAAGCTATAGGAGCACTAAGCTAAATGAGCAGCACTAAGCTAAAGGAGCACTAAGCTATAGGAGCACTAAGCTAAAGAAGCACTAAGCAAAATGAACACTAAGCAATAGGAGCACTTAGTAAATGGAGCACTAATACAGCACAATATCTCAATCCAGAATGACTTCCTATCTCTGGCTCCTTCAAAGGCAGTTGGAAATCTGGGTGTTGTGATTGATGAACACCTGACCTTTAAAGATCATGTTGCCTCTGTTGCTCGTTCATGCCGCTTTGTGCTGTATAACATACAAAAGATCAGACCATACCTAACACAACATGCCACCCAGCTCCTGGTGCAATCTACTGTCATCTCCCGCCTCCATTACTGCAACGCCCTTCTAACTGGTCTTCCAGGCTGTACTGTGAGACCTCTTCAAATGGTCCAGAACGCAGCGGCGCGTCTGGTCTTCAATCAGCCAAAAAGAGCACACGTCACCCCTCTGTTCATTGAGCTCCACTGGCTACCGCTAGCAGCACGCATCAAATTCAAATAGCTAACACTAGCATACAAAGTCCGAGACAGTACGGCTCCCATCTACCTGAATCCTCTTGCAAAGGCTTACGTCTCGGCCCGGCCGCTCCGGTCATCACAGGATGGTCGGCTAGCAGTGCCTACACCACGCTCAGGACAATCCAGACTTTTCTCATGCATCGTTCCACAAATGTGGAATGACCTTCCAAGCACTATCAGAACAGGAGCTTCCTTTTCAATTTTCAAGAAACTCCTGAAGACCCTGCTCTTCAGAGAGCATCTTCTTAACTAGCACCCTCCCTGCACCCGTCCCCCCTCTCTACCATCCACTCCTTGTTCCCTCCTCTCCATGATTCGTCATGCTGCCTCACTGCCACCTACGACTGACTGGAAATTGGCTTTTGTTGTTGTTAGCCTAAGGGCAACATGCCGATTATCACTTGTAAGTCGCTTTGGACAAAAGCGTCTGCTAAATACATAAATATAAACACATAAAAATAAACATAAACATAAACATAAGTAAAAGGAGCATGCGGCGTCAGGTTTCGGGGGGGGGGGGGGGGGGGGGGGGCAAAGACGCATTTAGACCTGACTGCCTGTGCCGTTAGGGTTGGTGTAATATCTTATGGCAGATCAAGACTGTTACAACCGTGGTGATAGCAGACTGCACTGATTTTCACATGTGACACGCTTGTGTTTTCTACGTGCAGTTTCTGACAGGTAGGATCAGTGACAGTCACCTGGATGCTTGATTACATGTGGTAGGTGAAACGGGAAACTCTTTAATTATCCTTTAAGATTTAGGAAGGCGACTCATTTGACACGACTGAAACCATGTGTTGCGTAGTTACAGGTGAAACATTGGTTCAGTGCATCGGTCTCGGAGAACTTTTATGTCAGATGGGGACGTGACCCCTTCTGACTTAAAGTCAGTTAACAGGTCCCACAGGACAGGTTTAAGTAGTTAGCTGGCTAGTCAGTGCTGCTCATCAGCTAGGCTCTCCGGCTGTTTAAACATGTATTAGGCAGATTGTAGTTCTGATCAAATCTGTTGTTTTTTCTAAGCAATAAAGTTCCAGATATAAACAACAACTAAACTGAATTCTTACCAGGAGAAACTCTCTCTTTAAACACCTAAAACTCAACTGTTACTAGTAAAACGTCCTAATTTAAACAGGTAAAATGAAAACATCCAACTTACAGTCATTTTCTAAATATCTGAACATACATCTAAACTGGCACTTGAGCTTGATTACAGTTAAAGCAGTTGTAGGTAAACTAAAACATTTATACTGCATAATATTGTGGTTAACAGTGTCAAAAGCTAACTAAAAGATAATAATTATTTAAATACCGAAGCAGGATCCAAAGTGGTCAGAGATATGAGACCCAAGTCAGTGCTACTGTTTTGTTTCCTTCTTAGATTTGCCGACACGAGGAGGAGAAAACATGTTTTCTAAGAACTGCAGCCAGGTCCAGGTTAAAACACAGAGTTAACCTGTGATTGGTGGCTCAGTTCACTCTGATCCAGGAACCAGCCCGAACACGGCACGGGCACCTTTCACCTTCACCCACATAAACACAACATTTTTAGCTTCATCTTTTGTTTTTCAGTTCTCTAACATGAAGTAAAGATCAAAGCTCTGCCGAGTGGAGCTGAAGGAACAGTCCATGACCCATCAGCAGAGCATCTGTGTGCTACATTTCTCTCTCTGTTTGCAGAGCCTGCATCACTTCAGGGAACAGAGAGGAGTTTACAGATATCAGAGTCTAAATGGATTTTCTCTCACAGGCCTACAGTTTTTTAATTTACATCTGAGAATCTTAGCGTGGCAGCGAGGTGGAGGTTAAAGCGTCTGTTTGCCCGGAAGAATTATTTTAGCTCAACTTATTAATCGTGTGCGTCATGGTAAGATGCTGCACAAAAGGTTATCTTTGCAAGTTGAGTCACACACAGCGATGTAAACAACCTTGAACACAAATACAAAGATAAATAAATCACACACAGATACATACCGATGGCATCTCCCTGTTCGTGGACCATGCTGGCCAGATCCTTCATTATTTGACTGACATCGAGCATATCTCTCTACGGGAACACAGAGAAAAGAAATGGGTTACTTGTTTGTTTGGGCTGACGGAGGGTTTCATTTACCTGTTGGGTTTGAAACAAGTTAGGTGTCAATCTGGTAAGCCTCGATTCACTCCACATGCTAAAGCTACAACAACAAATCTGCCAAACAATCTAGCTTAAGACATCTTTTCCATGCCTCTTAACACAGTTCTAACATAGTATAGCTCAGTTAGAGTGTGAGACGTTCTGCACTCAATAACATCAGAGAAGAAGAAACAGCCGCTGCTACCACTCCAACTACCAGAGTCCCAAAAAGAAAAGCACCATTTGAAGCACGGACAACAAAAGATGTTTGGACCTGGTAAACTGAGACTGGTGTTCAGCGCTGTCTCGTTTCCTGTGGGTTCTGGTGTCAGGTGGACATGGCCTCGGGCTAAAAGCTGACAAGAGGGGTGAGAGTTCATATTTGCGTTTTGCAGATTTGGTCTACCAGGAGCATATGACCTTATGAGCACAGAAAGCGTTCTACAGTGTATATCAGCAGCAAATTAGCTAAATAGGAGGGAGTTTGGCCATGCAACGCTTTAAAAGCTATGGTAAGGATTTTAAAAGTGCCTAAAATTCACAGGGAGCTAGTGAAGGCAGGCCAGGGCAGGAGTAGTGTGTGATGGTTTAAGAGCTCCAGATGACAGCATGCAGTTTGGTGAATGAAGCCAGTCGTCTGAGCCAAAGACAGCCGGATCCTTCAGGCATTTGCTCCCAGGAGGAAATATGCTGAATGGTGATTTCTGATGAGTTAGAATCAACTGCATTTTGTTTAATTGTAGTAAATTGGATGTAACTAATTCCATCCATCCATCCATTTTCAACCACTTATCCTGAGTCGGGTCACAGGGGCAGCAGCCTAAGTCGAGAGGCCCAGACTTCCCTTTCCCAAGCTACTTGGGCCAGCTCTTCCGGGGAATCCCAAGGCGTTCCCTGGCCTGCTGAGAGGCATAGTCCCTCCAGCATGTCCTAGGTTGTCCCTTGGGTCTCTTCCCAGTTGGACATGCCTGTGAAAACCTCACCAGAAAGGCATCCAGGAGACATCCTAACTAGATGCCCGAGCCACCTCAACTGGCTCCTCTTGGTGTGGAGGAGCAACAGATCTACTCCGAGCCCCTCCCGGATGACCAAGCTTCTCACCCTATCTCTAAGGGAGAGCCCAGCCACTTTTCCGAGAAAACTAATTTCAGCCTCTTGTATCTGCGATCTCGTTCTTTTGGTCATTACCCAAAGCTCGTGACCATAGGTGAGGGTAGGAACGTAGTTCGGCCGGTAAATTGAGAGCTTTACCTCTGGCTCAGCTCTCTCTTCACCACGACAGACCGGTACAATAGCGTGCCTAGAAATCCTGTCAGTAAAAGATATGAACAGAATCGGTGACAAAGGGCAGCTTTGGTGGAATCCAACTCTCTGTGGAAACGAGCTCGACTTACAGCCAGCAATGCAGACCTAGCTCTGACACCGGTCAAACAGGGACAGCCCATATCAGAGGACCTGGTACCTCATACTCCCGGAGTCCCCCTCACAGGACCCCCCCAGAAGGCTTTGTCTAACGCCTTCTCCAAATCCACAAAACACATGTAGATTGGATGGGGGACCTCTCACGCACCTTCCAGGATCCTCCTAAGGGTATAGAGCTGGGCCAGAGTTCCATGGCAAGGGGGAAAACCACAAAGTTTCCCCTGAATGCGAGGTTCGACAATCTGACGAACCCTCCTCTCCAGAACCCTGAATAGACCTTACCAGGGGGGCTCAGAAGTGCGATCCCCTTGTATTTGGAACACACTCTGTGGTCCCCTTTATTAAATAGAGGGACCACCACCCCGTTCTGCCAATCCAGTGGAACTGCCCCTGATGGCCATGCGATGCTGCAGTCGTGCCAACTTACGCAGCCCTACGACATCCAGAGTTTTAAGGAACTCTGGGCAGGTCTCATCCACCCCCGGGGCCTTACCACCAAGGAACTTTTTGACCACCTCAGTGACCTCAGCTCCAGAGATAGGAGAATCCAACCCAAACTACCCAGACTTTGCTTCCTCACTGGAAGACGTGCCGGTGGGATTGAGGAGGTCTTCAAAGTATTCCGCCCACATATCCACAATCTCCCGAGTCGATGTCAGCAGCAAACCATCACCACTGTAAACAGTGTTGGTAGTGCACTGCTTTCCCCTCCTGAGACGCTGGATGGTTGACCAGAATGTCCTTGAAGCCATACTGAAGTCTTGCTCCATGGTATTACCAAACTCCTCCCACGCCTGGGTTTTTGCCTCCGCAACCAGAGCCGCGTTCCACTTAGTTAGTTTAGTTTAGTTTATTTGTCATATGCAAGTTAGCACAGGGTCAACATTGCAATGAAATGTGTTTGACGAGCAGCGGTCTCTCAGCAGCATAATACAATAGAAAATAGAAGAAGATATAATACAGTAAAAGCAAAATATTAGAGAGTCATGCTAAAAGTAAAAGCTTACTAAATAGATAAGTAAGTATAGATGACTAAATATAAATATATGTAAAAAAAGTGAGTAGTACCATTAAAATGAAGTAACCAGTGCAGGTTAAATTGTACTTGTGGAGCTGCAGGGTAACATCTGTATCCTGTGTTTAAGTGTGTGTTTAAGTGTAATGGTTGAGGTGTCGTATGGCTTGGTGGTAGAAACTGTTTTTAAGTCTCGTAGTCCGAGCAGGCAGACTCCTGTAACGCCTGCCAGATGGTAACGAGGAGAACAGCTGATGCGCTGGGTGGCTGTGGTCCTTGATGATGCTGTGTGCTTTCCAGAGGCATCGCTGGAGATAAATGTCCTGAATGGCAGGAAGCCTTGTGGACTTGGACTGCCGGTATCCATCAGCTGCCTCTGGAGTCCCACATGCCAAAAAGACTCGATAAGACTCGTTCTTCAGCTTGACATCATCCCTAACCGTCGGTGCCAACCAGTGGGTTCGGGGTTGCCACCACGACAGGCACCGACAACCCTCTGACACAGCTCCGGTCAGCCGCCTCAACAATAGAAGCACAGAACATGGCCCACTCAAACTCAATATCCCTCCGTTCCCTCTGAATGTGTTCAAAATTCTGTTGGAGGTGGGACTCGAGCCCTTTCTGACACGAGACTTGGCCAGACAAATCCAGCAGACCCTCACAATACCCCTCTTTCTTAAAATCTTTAATCACAATTGTCTATTTTTTTGCTCATTTTAAATATTTTTTTAATCATTTTCTAAATTCTTTTTAAATTTTATATTTTTTGTTTTTGTGAAGCGCCTCGTGATTTTTATCTTGAGAGGCACTATACAAAAGATCTTATCTTCTTCTTCTATAGGGCTGCCAGTTCTTACCGGCTTCCTCCTCCATCATCAAAGCCGACTTACTACCAGGTAGTGGTGAGTTGACAGCTCAGCTCCTCTCTTCACCCGAGTGTCCAAGACATGCGGCCACAGATCAGATGAAACAACAACAAACTCAGTCATCAAGCTGCAGTCTAAGGTACACTGGTGCCAAGAGCACATATGGACGCCTTTCTGCTTGAATATGGTGTTCATCATGGACGATCCATGATGAACACAGAACACAAAACACCGCCCAGATTCGGATCAGGGTGGCCGTGCCTCCCAACCACACCCCTCAAGGACTCACTGCCATTGCCCACATGAGCGTAAAGTCCCCCAGCAGAACGAGGGAGTCTGAACGAGCGCTCTCCAGCACCTCCTCCAAGGACTCCAAAAAAGGGTGGGTAGTCTGAGCTGCAGTTTGATGCATAAGCACAAACCACAGTCAGGACCTGTCCCCCCACACGTAGGCGGAGGGAGGTTACCATCTTGTTCACTGGGGTAGACCCCAACAAGGGGGGGGCAACACGTATGCCCATCCCTGCTCTACGCCTCTCAGTGGGAGCAACTCCAGAGTGGTAGAAAGTTCACCCCCTCTCGAGGAAACTGGTTCTGGAGCCAGAGCCCCAAATTAAGGTGAGTCCAACTATGTCTAGCCAGAACCTCTCAACCTCACCCACCAACTCCGGCTCTTTCCCCACCAGAGAGGTGACATTCCACATACATCTTAGCTGAGGATCAGACCAGCAAGGTCACTCACTGCCGTTGGCTACCACCTGATTAAGAGCTCCAGATGACGGCCTGCAGTTTGGTGAATGAAGCCAGCCTTCTGAGCTAAAGGCAGCTTGATCCTTCAGGCCTTCGCTCCCAGGAGGAAACATGTGACTAATAAGCTGTTAAATGGTGACTTCTGATGAATTAGAAACAACTGCATTTTGTTTAATTGCAGTAAATTGGATGTAACTAATTGCTTTCATTTAATTAGATCTCTGAAGTACAAAATGGACCAATAAATCTCTATAATTCATTTAATTACATTCTTAGTATTTCTATCTGACAGATTCAGCTACTGTTGACCGAGGGTAGAATAACTGGGGCAGGTGAGCAGATGAATAAGAGAACAATCACTACACATTACAAAAAAAAGCCTAAAGAATTGGAGATAAAACTAATAAAACTACAGTGAATATTAACAGGAAGTAAAACTAACATTTTTTCTGGCTCAGGTGACATTTTCTAGTACCAAGAAAAAATGGAATGGTGTATAAACCCACAACCAGACCTCCTAATTCTGAGTGACAAGAGTTGCGTTAGGGTGTGTGTGACCTCACCAATGATTTGAACCCACGGTATAATACCATACCACCTTTATTTGTGTAGCACTTTAAACACGTGTGATGTACACACTCAGAACAAAATTTCTATAATCACCAATTAAACCACAGAACCTAGAACCGTGGTTCCCGACCCGTTTTCATGTGGGCCCCTTTCCTGTGTCCGAGACAAGCCAGGGCCCCAACCCTAACTCCTGCCACCAACTGAGAATAAACAAATAGCCAGAGAATTAAAACAAGGGTTTTAATCTCATTTGGACCTTCCTGGTTAAATAAATTATAAATAACACCAAGCAGTCTAAAATATAGTGA